AGCAGATAATGGGATGGCATTTCTAGATGTACTGCTCATTAGGAGATGTGACGGATCTACACAATGCCGAGTGTACCGCAAGAAAACAGTTTTGTGCCAAATAAACCGAGTTAAAACATGGTAAAATGCTCGGTATCTGTAGAACTCGAAGAATCTGCTCACAAGTAAGATCGATTTTTATCTCAGATGTGTTGGGAATAAGTGACCACTCAGACTGTTTCATTTAACGAAATTTGATGGAGCAGGTTTCAGAAGTACAGAAAGACAGTGGAAAAAGGACTTGTTCATTAGTTTTCCCTTTAAAGGGTTAACTTACCACCGAAGCCCCCTATAAGACGACTGGATCGAGCGGCAAAACCACACTCAACGCCGAGACCCCACTCTGTTATTTCAAAAGTAACCACACGGAATAACGATAAATTATCGATGTTGACCGCTTCATTGATTGTTTCCTCCTTGAGATTCGTTCGTGATGTACTCTGTCGGTCGTACGTTACGACAGTTGTCTATCCGTATTTACGTACACCATCCGCGCTTCTGAATCACGGTAGTTCCGGCTCTATCTCAAGTGCGATTCGTGCCCACTTGGTAGATACTGGCCATCAATTAACCCTGATGGAGCATTCAATACCATTAACAGGGGTCCCCGGATCCATCTCATTCTTTTAGAATGAGCACATTGGTCATAGCAGAAACCATATGTATCCGACACTTGACTCCCGAACTGTGTCCAGAGGTATCTAGTCTATCTACCTTGGGCTCACATACCCAACCCTCGTCCTGTATGCACATATATCTATGTTTCGCAACATAACATCGATTCCTTAAAACTGGGTCGCAGCATAACTGAAAATCCCGGAAGCATAGAACTGAGAAAGTGATATGCAGCACACCCACATAGTGATCCATTTCTCATATTTTAATGCTATGGTTCCAACCTATGTATGTACAGCATGATTGTTTTATTGTAGGCTATTGTTCACCTCAAATCGTGCTCTACATGCAGAAGGCTCGATTTTGTTTATCAGTTTGAGACACAATCACTGCGGCATCTGGTTGTCCGTGATTGTTTTAGTGTATACACTTCAGCTCGATCGATTCGGTTATGTGGTACGAAGTCTGCTGCTATACCCGTGAAGCAGTGCTGAGGTCAAACCAAAAGTTTTGAGCAACCGCGGTCACGCACTAACGTAAGTGCTCGATCGCCATAGATCATGTTTAGGATATGTTTTACACCTTCCACCGTAGGACTTCCTCAACCTGCGATGTTTGATGACATTAGTTTAGAAAAGGTCAATCGGGTTCAGATCATCAGCTGTATACTGTGAGCGAAGAACTTGATCAAGTAAGTCACTTTAACCCTTTCGGTCGGAGAGTTCACGAACAATCTGTTGAATTGTTTCAAATTGGCTGCTATTGCAAAATGTTGTGAACGTTGTTGCTTATACTTCTCAATTTTTGTGCACACTCAATATACTTGCATCATGTATCTTTATATTCTCCCTGTTACCAGCCTTTTATTTCTCTATCCGTTCATTGTTAAATATTTGCAGCTGTTCCTGAATTTACTCATTACCATGTCTTATCACAACCTCGTTCATGTTGTGTAACCTGTTTTTTGTTGGCTATCCTAGTGGTTGGTACATTCAGTGTTGCCCTACTCTATGCTCCAAGGCTTAAATTGTCAGTTATGGTGTGTGAACAGTAGGTCCTCATCGCTATTGTCTACCGTTTCTGTTGGTCTGGTATGCAATCACACAGTTCAACTGTTCATTGTTTTTCGCTCTTAAATTTTTGTTGAACTATGGAACGGGCTATTCCCGTAAAAATGAAGAGCTCGTCAGAACTGGTCAAGTCAAACTGTTTTCATAAAAATGGAGTGGTCCGAAGAGGTTATTTCATCTTTGGACGGAGTTGTGCATTTTTGGCGGCAACTGACTTGATCTCAGTCACCCTAACATTGATATAGTTCGCCCATCTCACTTGTACTCTCTGCGCGCTTTTGTTGTTTATCTTTGGTTTACTTTCTCTTGGTAACGCCTGTCCTCATACAAGGAGCGAAACCGTAATGTCACATTGCATTATAGATTAAATTGATTCTATTGAGTTTATTTTGGTCGATACCAGTGCTGTGCGGACTGTTCAAGCTGTACTTTTTCATCACGTGCTCCTTAAATCATTTCAGTCACTTTCTCCGAAAATTCCTCCAGTCAAGTCTTTAGCATTTGATTACTGAATGGTTCCCGCTTAGACCGGTACTACTTTATCGCCGGGTAGCGTAACTTGTGCTATCATTGACGTGTCGATGGTGCAAAGGAGCGAGTGGTTATATAATACTAGGCACAAAACTGCTCCGTATAGTATTTCCTGAGAAGAGGAACGTTTGGAACAAAATAAACACAACAGACTGTACTTTGTTTGTTGAAAATCATCGGCTATATCATATTTTATGCGCAAGTGACAGCCACGTAGACTACCACTCGATTGTCATGCCTCATATACGACAAGTGACCCACATCTGTACACCAAGTTGCAGTAGCGTGTGTTTAACTAGAAGAGATTGTGATATCGTTTTGATCTTTCGATTGATATCAAAAGAGTTCACGATACGTCAAAGCGGTTCACTTGACCAGTAACCGTGGTCTACGTATTCGGCAGACAGTTGTCTGTTTGAGCTTCGTAAAGAAAGTGTAAGCAAATTAAAAACAGTGGAATATTTGCTTGATGTGCATGAACAAGTTCCGTTGGTCAAGGCTATTGCTCCTCTAAAGAGTTCATCTATTTTACCACGTTTTGTTCCTCTACGTCAGGTTGGAGAAAAAGGCGATAAAACCAGATTGAGCGACATGAAAGTGCAAGATAGAAACTCAAAATGATTTGCATTGCACATGATTGATTTGGTTTGATTGGGATTTTGAGAGATTCGGTTAGTGGTGGCCTGAAGACATCAAAGGTAATATGGTGTGTCGTTCGCCAATCATTGACTTTGTTTTTTAGTTTTTTCGAGGAACTGTCAAGTACGGATTCCCACCAAAACGGTTGGAATTCCAAATAAGCTAATTGGGGCTATTCATCCTAGGGGCTAGTTATTTGGGATATTCGGGATCACTATATAGTAACGTGCATCACGTCAGTAGTGTGTTACCCTTCAATAACTTTATTAACTGGTATTATAGTCAGATGTTGAATTGATCCACTATCGGTGCTCCTCCCAAAGGCGTGTCATGAAGTAGCGAAAATTTCTGTTTTATGGTGAGACGTGTAGCGTTTATTGGTATCCGATTTTCTTCTTTGCTTTTATTTAAGTGACTCCACTCTGTTGTAGCTACATCCTTAGTCTATGCCTATCCAGCTGGTAAAGTTTCTTCAGTGTGTCCTCGCTAAACCGTACTGGTAATGTAAATCGATGAATGTAAATAATGCACATAAGTCAGCCCAAACTTCACGGTATGACGCCATTCACTTTTCATCCTTGTATTTGTAGATCTTGAGTGTATCAAGTGGTCCAACACAACTATTCCAAAGTCCAAAAGCACCCGAGTCTTCCGATTTTGGTGCTCCAAGTGCTACATCGAAGTGTGGACCTGATCAAGAAGTTTCTCGTGAATCCAATAATTTGAACCAGTTGTCAAGCGGGACAACCTCGTTACAGGACGCGGATTCAGATGTACATGCACCACAGCAAACACAGTGTGATTCATCTTTGGACCCATCTTTCGTTTCTCCGGCCTCCAAGAATTTGAGTGCAATGCAAACAAAACGGGCTGTAAGCGCCTACTATGGTATTCAGTCCGCATCGCAGAAGGTAGACTTATCTGACCAAGCAGTCTCTCAAGTGTTCCGCTTTATTTCTTTCATATTTTCACGAAACCTAGATATCGTTTTGCAAAACACTAAATTGTTTTATGGGTGTCATGAGTCTCCCCTCTATTGTCTTTCCACATAAGGTATTTTTCATTTATTCTATTCTTTCATATAGTTGCACGCACCGACTTTCAGAAGTTGATTGATACTCCAATTTCTGCGTCGAGAGTCGGTAAAATTTCCCATATCTTGTCCCTAGTTTGGCTTTTATATTCTCATATTTGCAAACACTGGACTGAAAGAATTGTTGTTTAGTCTCACTATCTGATCAGTGCTTTGGCGGTGTATACTTTTTCAAGGTAGTACAAACTGCTTTGGTTCTACGTCGACCGCAGAGACATCCCATCTAATGTGGATCAGATTACTCGTTGACGGTTTTTTACTTTCCGTTTGGTTAGACTGAAACGTTTCTATCCAGGCAACTTCGTTAACAGCTTAATCTGGCTGTGCTTACTAATAGCGGGCTTTATTCCAGTCGACAAGTGTAGAGTTGAATTCGAGCATCGTGTTGTGTAATGTAGTGCGTGTTAACAAAAGCCCGATCGATCACGTCGGATTGTTTTACCTGGTGCTTGGAATATGGACCATGTGTGTGTGTGTGAGAGAGAGAGAGAGAGAGCACGTGCACTCCACGATGACCATGTCATCCACATGCGCACACAATCCTGAGCGTAACAAAATTAAATGCCGACTACTGGTTATGCAGATAGTTGTGCCAAACATCGATACATCCATTTGATCGCTACGTTACGTCGAGCAAAGCCGCACAATATTGGCTGTGTCATAGTGACAATCAGCTCAATCCATTTTCGCATGCTTTTGCAATTCTAAAATTAACCAATTTTCACTGTTGAACTTCAATGAGTTCTGTACGTCAAAAGCCTATGATTCCTGCGTAAATCTATGAAATCAATTTCTGTAATAAGGTCTTGATCTTCTAGAACTATCACAAATGACACTCTTTTTCGCACTTCTGACGGTTTCATCAGCAATCACCAGTTTTTACCGGTGATAATTTTCTGTTTGACTGTCTATCGATCGCTGGTCCATGTCATGATAGGCTATTTAATAATGGCTCAAAATTTTCGATGGTATTGCTAAAAATTCAAATACATGCATTGTTTTCACCGGATTTCATGAATCGATTTTTGTGAGTTGTTTGGTTAAACTTTGTCCCTTCAGTGAACTTTCCTTCATACTTCACACAGGAAGCTGCTTCACGTGATCTAGTTTATAGCGTACTCTTGTTCGTTTTTGGACTGGTAACCTGCCCAGTTTGGGGTAGCTGAAATTCCAAACTGGGAAAGAACAGCCACAATCGATCCGCGAAGCAGGCACTATGGGGTGGGCGTATCGTCGAGAATCTAGACCATGAACCTGTGCCTTTCGCGTGTGTCACTGCATCTTACAGATAGGTGTATTAGGTGGCGAAAAGCAGACAACTGTTCTTTCCTATTAGTATGGTGCCGTGGGGTTCATTGATTTCAGACTGACGAATAAACACGAATGATGGAAAATAATTGGATGCAATTTAGATGCATTCGATTTATCAAATCGTCACTACGTATGAAACTTTAAGTTCAATTAGTCAAACTTGGCTCACGATTTAAATCTCCTAGAATATCAATCCTTCGCGCTAAATATTATGCGATTGAGGTTCACCTGACTGATTCTAATCTGAAAAGATCTTGGTCAGAACCTCCAGGTAGATGTTCTCTCCCAATTGAAGTGTCAACTCTCACCGGAATGTTCGATTTCGTTTAATGTGCATTGCTTTACAAAAATCATCCACTGATTTGTGTGGAATTTAGTCATCTGTCTTGTTCGTTGGAAAAGTAAACAGTTTGTTTGCATTTGGTTTCTATCTATTGTTTAACCAACGTCTGATGGCTTTCTCTGCTCGTTTTGAACTGTGAACTTATATGAACTAAAATGTAAAATCTCATACCTTTAATTTAATTAAGTCGTGGGATTTTTTTTATAACGATTGTTGTATCGTGATTTGTCTGGCACACAGTTGAGGTTCAGACGTGTGTGAAGTATTAATTTTGTTAAATTCAACGGTCAGTTATGGTCAGATTTGACGCTTAGTTTTTAAAAATCCAATTGCACTTAGAACAACTGCAATTCGACTGTGATATGTGGTTTCCCGGATCAACAATTCTATATCAAGCAATAACGTATCGCCACGTGATATTCTGCCCCGTGCTATTTCGATATCGATCAATGATTCGTGAAAAACTAAACTATCATCGAGCCACATCCTGTGGTTTCATTATGTTTTGGATCATGAGTGAAACCCGCTTGCACCGTTATATCAGAATCCGCTCTTTCGTATCAGATTTTTGAAAATGTAGACTACAATCGCTGTTGGCGTTCATTCTTCTGATATATCAATACAGTGAGTATTTTGAAGTTACCTCATATGATTATCTGGTTATAATTACTAAGATGCGAGGAACTTGTTCATCTTATCACTCCTTTTACAAATTAACCCATGGTTGTGAATGTTGTAATGTTAATAACACGACGATTTCGGTAGAGAATTATATTCTCCAACGTTTCAGTTACCCACGGTTACCGAAAGGTCGCTGAATATAATTCTCTACCGACATCGCTGTGTTATTAACATTATAACATTCACAATGAA